GAAAAATATGCCATGTTGAACCTTGAAGCCAACTGCCTGCAGCAGCAGAAGACTACTGGATGCAACTTACTTCTGTCAAATAAGAACAGAAATCTGAGACTATACTTCAAATGCAGCCTGATTTCTGCTGCAATATTTGGATTGTAGTATTAGAATATGGCATAATGGTAATGGTACACTTTGGGTCTCTTAGCACCAACTGAGGATGATTTAAACCCCACAGCCTGCCTGTGTATTGCTGCTGACTATGTTTATCCCTTCGTGTCCAGAGGGAACCCATCTTCTGGCTGTTTCCATCAGGATAGCGTGCCATGCCACAAATCTCACATCATCTCAAACTGGTTTCTTGAACATGACAATAAGTTGACTGTACTCAGATGACCTTCAAAGTCACCAGATTGCAATCTAATAGAGCACCTTTAGCCTGTGGTCGAATAGGAGAGTCTCATCATGGACGTGCAGCCAACAAGTCTGCAGCAACTGTGTGATGCTGTCATGTTAATATGGACCAAAATCTCAGAGGAATGTTTCCAGCACCTTCTTGAATCTTGTGCCACGAAGAACAAAGGTAGGTCTAAAAGCAAAAGGGGTCTAAACAGATACTAGCAAGACATACCTAATAAAGTGGTTAGTGAATGTTTTTATCCCAACATGCCAATTTAAATCACTCTCCCTGCACTATAGAGCAGGTTATTGTGACATTTATAAAGTTATCAACAAAAACTGACATTTGTCTTTACAGCCGAAAATGGTCCAATCTAAGGAAAAAAAAAACCATTGCCTGAAAAATGACACCTCCACCACCTCCATTAAAGATGTGTTTTGTTGATGAAACCTGAGTACAACAGCAGTATATGAACTCATATTGCACCCCAGTGCCTGGCTTTATGGCTGCTGATATTTTTGACCTGTAAAGAGATGACATTGTGCAAATTGTACCCATATGTTTCCCACATGGGGGAACATAACGTTTTTTATGTTCAAATTAACATCATGTAACAAGTTCAGCTAAGACAGATTGGCTACTGTTATGTTATCCCCTGATTATGAAAGTTCAAAAAAGTAAGGAAAACTAGAGAGAATCAGTCTCTGTGTTGGTCAGAGGCTGTCAGATACTGTTCCCTTCAGTTTTCTTGTAAAAGAACAGCTCTTCTTTACTGTGAAGGAGGACACAGATGAGCAGCTCAGAGTCTGAACCTGATTAAAAGAATGCTCTGTATGTGGAGGTGGCTTCAGGTCTTAATTAAAGCGCCATGGCTGTGCTTGTCTGTGACTCAGCAGTTTGCAGTATTACCTTGTAAGCTCAGTTTCCAATACGGTGAGCCTTACCTCAGTCCAACATGTGCATTAACACATCTCCTCTCTACCCAAAGAACAAACCTTTGTGTGTATGCGTGTGTGAGGGAGTGTGTGCATGTATCCAGTCTTATCCTGCCTCCTCTGTGAAGGGTTTCAGTTTCAGTCTTTTGTGTCTGCTGAACACCTCAGGTTGAAATCTGAGTGGAAATCAGCCATCTGGCTACAGTTATGAGCTGTAATCCAACTCAAATCAATCAGAAATCACATCGCATACACACTTGCAATACAGAACTTCCATTTTCTGTTGAGCTCTCTTTTCACTGTGGAATGATTACCACAAAACTATGGCACACAGTAGGTTCATCACAGTAAAAATCATGGAAGGAACTTCCACAAAGGCTTTTGTGTCTACATTTGCAGGTTTTTATGTGTCTAAATGTCATATACATATCACTACAATCAAACAAGATAAAGATAAAAAAAACAAACAAAACAACCCCTTTATTTGGTCTGAAACACGAGTACTAAGGGTGTCTGAAGTATGTAGGCCAAAGGGCCTGTCTCTCCTCCTCAGTTTACGTCCCAAGTAAGTCAGTCGTAAGTATTTTAATACATCTGCAGCACTCCATATAAGGCTTGTTTATGTGCTGAATAAACGTTTATTTTTAAGGGTGGGTGTGACCACAAGATGTGCTGTAGTAATATGTTGGTTTAGTTTGTTCCAGTTATGTTGCACATACAGAACGAACCTTGTTAGGTACAAAGAGTGAAGCAGAAGCGTGCAGAAACTACAGGGTGGGCCATTTATATGGATACACCGTAA